GAAGGGTAGATATGGATATGATGACCACACAATAACATCACGTGTAGCCCTCACTGAGGATTGATTACCGGATGTTGTGTGGGGTGATCCATATTATTAATAAACTTAGGACCCCCCTTTCCTTTGTTTTCTTTGTTTCTTTTAAATCTTTTTTTAAACCATTTCTTTTAAGAAAATCAACTCTTTTAGTTCCTTCTTCTTACTTTTTTTTATTTGTAACCATTACGTGAAAATCTCCTTTTATTTGAAGCCTTTATTTGCCTATGTGTTATTTGCACTAAAGTCATAATAATAGCTTGGCCGGGAACCACACTAGTAGATCTTGAGGGGTGCCTAACACCTTCCCCTTGAGATAATTTCAAGCCCTCACCCAATCTCTGGTTGTGCAAATCAAACCTTCCTTAGTGTCCTAATGCACTCAAATCATTAGGTGGCGGCTCTTCACTTCAAACCCAATTCCCGAAGGGAACGAGTTGTCCTCCCAAATGTCATAAACCCAATTTTGCGAGAAAAAGGGGGCGCAACATATGTATGGTGAGTTTATACAGTGATTTAATGGCTTTACAACAACTCTTGGCATGTTCAAGGACGAATGTATATTTATGTGGGGGAGAATGTAATGACCCGACTGGTCGTGTTGAGCATTAGCATTTGCATTCGGTTGTTTGAGATCTTGAGAAGCTTGATATGATTCATTATGACTTGCGTGTATGGTCGATTTTGGTTTTCGAGTAGTTCGGGATTGATTTGGAAGAATGAATCTCGATTTGGAAGCTTGAGTTGAAAATATTGACCAAGTTTGCCTTTTGTGTATTTGACCTCAGATCAAATTTTTGATGATTTTATTAGGTCCAGACGGTGATTCTGGACTTCATTTTATGCTCGAATTTGAGTTCCGGTGTTCCTAGATAATTTTGAGGTTAATTGCCGAGAGTTGGAAGTTTGAAGGTTTGGAGAGTTGATAGGTTTAACCCATAGTTGACCTTGTGATTATTGATGTCCATATGGGATTTGAGTCTTAGAATAGGTTCATACGGTGATGTATGAATTGTATGAAAAATTTGGGGGTCATTCCGTGTTCTTTAGATGTGTTCAGTGTAAGTTAGAATTAGAAATAGTTTATTAAGCTTGAATTGAGGTGCTATTCATAGTTTTGATATGATTTTGTGGGATTCAGGGCCTCGAGTAGGCATGTGTTATGTTTTGGGACTTGTTGGTATGTTCAGACGGGGTTCTGGGGGGGCACGGGTCTGTTTTAGGGTGGTTTCAAACCACTTTTCCCTTGTCTTTAATTGTTGGTTTTCTTCGATTTTCTGCAATTGTGAGTCTTCTTCGTGATCGCTTAAGGAGGATTACGATTGCAATGTGTATGTTGGAGCTGGGTGGTTTTTCCTCTTCGAGTTCACAACTGGGTGGTCGCGTTCGCCGAGGTGGCATGGCTTGCCCATCGCGTTCATAGATCAAGGTCGTGTTCACAGTTGAGAGTGGAACCTTTTGGATTGTGTTCGCGTTCTCATGGTCCAAGATGCATTCGCGAAGGAGTTGGTATCTATGGGCATTGAATTCGCGGGGTCGATGACGCGAACGCTAAGTGCATTTTTGGCAGTGTTCATTTAGTGCTTCGTGATTGCGAAGTAGGTTCGCAATTGCGAAGGGCATATTTAGCGCAATGGTGGAACGCATTTTACCATATTTTGTGACTGGGAGCTCGGATTGAGGCGATGTTTAAGTCGATTTTTACCCACTTTGGATTGGGTAATATTTTTTACTCGAATTTGATCATTATCCGTGATTTCACCTTTGATTTTGGCATTTGTTTAGTGAATTTAAAAGAGAAATTGGGAGTTTTTGGCAAAACTTTTCTAAAGTGAATAATTGAGATTTGAATTTGGAGTCGGATTTGGATGAAACTTGTATGTTGAACTCTTATTCGAATCGATTATCAGAATTTGTAAGTTTTGTCGGGTTCTGGGTTGCGATCCGGCGTTGACTTTTTTGTTGACTTTGAGTGCTTAATTAAATATTTGAATTTTGTCGTTTGGGTTTGATTCTTATGACATTATTTATTCTTTTTGAGTTACTTTTGGCTATATCCGAGCTTTTCGGAGCTTGATTCGCACGGGAAGGCATTTTTAGAGTATTGATTTGGCTTGTTTGAGGTAAGTATCTTACCTAAACTTGGTTGAGGCACTAGTTGCCTTAGTTATTAGTGATTGCTACGTGCTATGGGTGGCACACATGTGAGGGGTTGAGCCTATGTGTGTGCACAATGATATTATCCATGCTCGGTGTAGTGCTCAGGCTACGATATGCCTTGAATTGATTGTTAAGCTTCATGATATTATGTTTCTTATGTCCGTACCTCTTTGTGAACTAATTGGATCATGTTAGACATTACATATAGGTTCATTCTGTGATTAAACATGATAACTAATATTTTTGTGATGAAATTGTCTAATTTGAGTTATGGTAGTACACTTAGCATACACCTTAGATGTCACTAATATCAGTCCATGAGTATGTAATTTGATATCCATTGTTCATGTACATGTATTCTTGTATATATGCTTTCTGTATGATATGGACTTGACTGATAGCACGTGAGTGGTCCGTGGGGATCCTAGATATGTAGCACGTGAGTTGTCTGTGCGGTTATTTTTATTGGCATGTGAGTTGTCCATGCGGTTGTTATTATTATTACGTGAGTTGTCCATGCGGTTGTTATTATTATTACGTGAGTTGTCCATGCGGTTGTTATTATTGGAATATGAGTTATCCATGCGGTTGTTATTTTTTGCACGTGAGTTTTTGTGCAATTGTTATTATTGGCACATGAGTTGTTTGCACAACATACGAGTTGTCCATGCAGCGGGATGATAAGGATCCACCCCTCTAGGGTCACCCTCTCATGTTTCTCTCTTGATGGTGTACATGCAAGTTGTGAGAAACCGACTGGTTTTTGGTTGATGTGGATTTTGGTAAAGTTTATCATTGGTTGGACCTTGCATCTCTTCTTTATTAGCAAACTCCTTGAATATATATATATATATATATGATTTTTCTGCATATCTTCTGTATATGTAGCTCTAGAATGTATACATGTCTTTATGCATATCTTCCATATATTCTACCTTATTCGATGAGATGAGACATGATACATTTTTTCTCTATATATGAATCTGTGTGACTTGACTTGTTTAATCACGCATATCTTCTCTATATGCACTTGTTGAAGGATTGAGCATGCATATCTTCTTTATATGCAACTATGGAAGGATTATTTGATACTTTACACATATCTTTTCTATATGCAAGTTTGATGATTTAATAATATTGGACGCATAACTTCTCTATATGCTGGATTGTTAACTGATTCAGGACTTAGACATTATTTCTTTGTGCACTGATGCAGTTTTATCTGTGTTATATAATTAGATGGCACCATTGTTGTGTACTTGTGAAATTCATGAATTGAACAGGTTATTACCGAGTATCATTAATAATTCCTGCCACTATTACCTCCCCGAGGTTAGTTATGATACTTGCTGAGTACATGGGGTTGGTTGTACTCATACTACACTTCTACACCTTGCGTTCAGATCTTAGAGCTGAGCTGCTATAGAAGACGGAAGTTGGAATTGAAGATGTACCTACTTTTTAGATATAGCTACCACTTGTCTTAGATAAATTTTGATTTGTACTCTATTTATGCTTATTCTACACAGGTGTTGTATTTATTTTCATACCAGCCTTTAAATTGTTACATCATGTTATCATCATTTGGGGTGATTGATATGAGATTTGTAAGCCCGAAAGACTGGAGAGATTGATAATTGAATTGGGGCTTGAGGTCCGGCTTGTGAGTTATATTTATGGGATCGATTTGCACGTCGCAGCATGCCATGTTGGCTTATATTAGTGCTTGGGCAAGATCCATCCCTATGGAGTTTGACATACCAGCAGTGAGCGCAGGTACCGTTGAGTGCTGAGTGAGAGTGCTGAGCGATTGAGTGTGCTGAGTGATTGACCGTGCTGAGTGAGATTGAGTACTCTGAGAGTGTGAACACATGAGTTTATTACCGTGTTGCATTACATGCGACATGCATATTTGACATGTAGACATAGAGACATAACACTCCTCATGCGGGCTATGCTTGGCATATTTATCAGTATTGATCTTAAATTGTGGAACTTGAAAGCATGTCTACATTTCTGTACTGGTACGAATTGATTATGGGATTTCTCTGAGTTATCACTATCATTTCCCTATTATATATGTATTGTTATTATCTGGATTTGAACTGTACCTTTATGAACTCGTCATTACTTTCATCCCAAGGTTAGTCCTATTACTTATTGAGTACATTGGGTCGTTTGTACTCATAGTATACTCTACACTTCGTGTGCAAATCCAGGTACATCTGAACCCGGTGGATGCTAGACTCGGAGCAGTATCTTCTAGGAGGCTATTGAGGTAGCTGCTTTAATGCCCGCATACCTCGACTCCTCTTCTTTTCAGTTTATTCAGTACTATTCGATTTTTCCAGACAATTGTATAAAACATTTAGACTGTGTTGACACTTAGTAGCTTATGTACTCGGTGACACCTGAATTTTGAGGATGTTGTTGTTGAGTTGTAGTTGTTCTTATCGGTTATTTATGAGATTTTCACTGTTAAACTTATTACATCATGCTTTTAATTTAAAATGCATAGTTATTTTGTGATTTTCGGCTTGCCTAGTAATGTGATAGGCGCCATCACATTATGTTGACATTTGGGTCGTGACATGAGTAGTATTAAGAAAGACTTGGATAATTTGATGTTTGAAGGAACAATTGATGATTGTGATCAAACTAAGCAACCTCATTTCCGGACATGCTTTTCTAGAGCTAAGCTTCGTCTACTCAAATTTTTCCAGAATTTCACGTCAGAACTGCAATTCTCAAAACTGATGCTCTGATACCATGATAAAATTTGCTAAATTTTAACTGCACAAATATAGATCCATGATATCCAAAGGATATTCTCTCGATGAAGTAAAGAGAGAGGTTCATAAGAATATAGAGAAAGCGAGTTGTTTTCTTTATCTAAACTAGAGAGTACAAGTCCAACTTGTCTACTATATAACACATACACGTGCAAGCTCATTAACAGCTAACAACCCTCTAACAGTGTTAACTAACTAACACCATAAGTTATCTTTTTTATCTAATTGCCTCCTTCTGAATATCTTGCATTTCAGTCCTGATCACAATAGAAGTAGACGGGAAGACTCCTGAAATTCCTTCAATGCTCGGTTGATGAGTAGTTGATGGGGAACATTTTCTTTTAGGCCTCTCTTAAAGGTATATTTGTGGTGCTATAACCACCATCTAGAATGAGGTTCAGACCACTCACATATTTGGAATCATCACTTGCCAAGTACAACACTGCCTTTGCTACCTCATCTTCATCTAGTAAAGCTCCTTTCAGATTTTCTCCTTTTGCAAATAACTTGTCTGCCAGTTTTCTGTCATCGATTCCAAGTGTGTTCAATGCCAATGGTGTGCCAGTTGTGTAAGGAAAAACACTGTGTACTTTTATTCCGTATTTCCCTAATTTGACCCCAACGTTCTTGGAGAGCCCCAGAATTGCATTCTTTGACGATGTGTAGGTGTGTGAAACATCACCACACGTTGATGTTGCAACGCTCACTGTGAAACAATGGCCCCTCTTTTGGCTGGAATCATCTCTAGTAGCATGTTTTGTGCAAAAGAAGTCTCTAACAATGTTTACATCGAACACATTCTTAATAATGTCATAATCAACCTCTAATATGTGTAGGAAAGAAGAAGAAAAAAAAGACAGACAATAGTAAAGGAAACAAAAACCTTTTGGCTATTGGGGTTTGAAGAGGAGAGATATCCATATTCTTAAGTTTAAGAGCTCTGGTTTTTTCTATACAACTGCTTCAAGAGGCCAAAGTGGAAAATGAAGTTCTATATTATCTAGAAGACATGACAAAGTCAGAGCACCAAAATGCTAACTCGGAAGAGGTCTAATACTGAGGCTCCTCCATGAATTTTCAATCAAGCTTCTAATTTCTAATGGTCCCTTTCATTTCTTTTATATGTCTGCCACTTTATCTTTGTTAGTGTTGTAGTGGATGTTTTTGCTCGTAGTCGGCGTTTTAGCCGTAGAGCCTGTTTTTCAGTTGATGTCATTTGCTTATACTTCTCACGCCGTCTGAAATTCATTTCTGCGTTTCGTTCTGCCGAGTAGCAAGAACTATTTTTGTTCTGATAATGCATCTGTTTCAATGTAGTTTGTATCTCCAATTATCTGTAGGTGAGGCCAAGTTTGATAAGAATCAATATCCACCACATGGAGAAAGAGAGTAAATATTCTAAAGTACAAAAATAAGCAAATAACAATAATAAAATGGAGACATCAATTACCCTATCTTCCTAAATTAATGTTGCTGGAGCAAAATTAGTAACTATTACAAATTGACCCAAATCCATAGCAAAATTTTGAAATTACATAGCATGCCTCGCAATTGAAATTTTCAAAGAGGTATTGTTTGGTGAAACGCAGAAGAAAACGAAACCCCGAAATAAATTCAGATGTAAACAAGCGGAGAATAAGAGTTGAACATGATGACAGAACGCGAGTACAGGTAATCAAGCAAAGCAGGGATATAAAGAGGGAAAAGGTAAGTGCAACAACCATAGAACAATTGTGCTCACCAAAATGCAAAAAAGTCATCGAGGCACAACAGCCAAAACTGAAAGTGAAGCGAAGAATGTATAGACGTAGAAAGAAGATTGAAAGAAAGTTTCTGAGAAAAAATGCAAATAAAAGTTTCATATTAAATGCAGGAAGATAAGAATATAAAGCCATCGTTTAGTTGGTGAGAAATGTCTAGTAAGTCCTCAGCATAAAGTGTTCTTTACCTTGTTTCAAGGACAAAACTAGCACATAGACATTATAAATATCTACCCTAGTTCCACCGGTGTAAATAAAGTCACAACATATATCCCATTTTTCCTTTCTAACTACTCCCTCCGTTCCAATTTATGTGAACCTGTTTGACTGTGCACGAAGTTCAAGAAAAAATAAAACTTTTTGAATTTGTGGTTCTAAACAAGTCAAAAAGGGGTCCAGAGTATTTGTGTGGTTATAAAAGCTTCTCATTAAGGGTAGAATTGAAAGTTTAAGCAAAATTGTTTCCAAATTCAGAAAGGGGTCATTCTTTTTGGAACGGACCAAATAGGAAATAGGTTCAAATAAACTGGAACAGAGGGATTAGTATATAGTATTAGCCGTAAAAATTGCATGGAGCGCCTTATTTGGTCGCCCCATTTAACCTGTACCCACTTTTTAATTTTTTTTAACTTGTACCCACTGTTTAAACAACTTTAGGCCTTTTTCTCCGCTTTCTTTTTCTTCTTCTTCTTCTTCTTCTTCTTCTTCTTCTTCTTCTTCTTCTTCTTCTTCTTCTTCTTCTTCTTCTTCTTCTTCTTCGGGCATCCGTGATGTTATATGGTGTTTGAGAACATATTTTAAAGTAGTTTAGATATTTTGTCTGTTGCGGTGTTTTATTTTTTACTACTGCTTAGGGTTTCTTCTTTTTCTGTTTCTTAATTGCAAATTGAGTTCATTAGATTTATTGTTATTTTGACAAATTGATAATTGAGGTTTGTTCTTGATGACACTTGGAGGTTATGTTTCAAATTTGAGCTCATTTGGAGTAGATTTAGGTATTAAATCGTATATTGGATTGTTAAAATTCGAAGAACAAATTTTTGTTTCTGGACAATTTGCACTTCATGCCTATTTGGTCTTAAGTGCATGAAAACATTAGTTGCACTTCAGACCTTTTGGCCTTAAGTGCATCTGAAGTGTAATTTTTCACTTCATACTTATTGGCCTTAAGTGTATGAAAACACTTGTTGCACTTCAGACATTTTGGCCTTAAGTGCATCTGAAGTGTAATTTTTCACTTCATACTTATTGGCCTTAAGTGTATGAAAACACTTGTTGCACTTCAGACATTTTGGCCTTAAGTGCATCTGAAGTGTAATTTTTCACTTCATACTTATTGGCCTTAAGTGTATGAAAACACTTGTTGCACTTCAGACATTTTGGCCTTAAGTGCATCTGAAATGGAATTTTTCACTTCAGGCCTATTGGCCTTAAGTGCATGAAACCATTGGTTGCACTTCAAGCCTATTTGGCCTTAAGTGCATCTGAAGTACAATTTTTTCACTTCAGACTAATTTTTTTAAATTCAAACCTGATAAGTCTTAAGTTGATCGTAAAGTGGGTAGGATTGCAAATCTTTTTGCAAGGTGGCTATAGATTCAATTGTGACCCCAAAACCGAATATAAATGCAAAACCCATAGTGGCCGTTAATAGAGTTATCTTTTTAAGGAGAGAAGTGTTCGCCTCCATACTTCTTGTTTCTCACTTTCTACCTATGACGAGATAAACAAAATATTTTGTAATGATATAAAGATGAAAAGAGTCTTAAGTTTAACCCGTTAAAATATGTGAGATATTCAAACAAACAACACACAAACGTAAAACTTAATAATGGTGGGAGAACCCTCTTGAAATATAGTAATTGCAATAACAACAAAGGAATGACAGGCTCAAATTTGTTCATTAGCAACTCAGTAGTGTACCATACAACATTCATTAATTGTCAGAGACTAGAGCAGCGGAATCTTCTCAAAAAGTTTGCCCTTCCAAGGATTCATGTAAAGATAGGAGGGCAACATATTATGCTGTCATCAGGATTATATTCATCAGTCACAGTTGTTGAATCCAAAGGTGAAAAGAGGGAAATACTTTCTCACAAATTTTCAATACTGCATCTCATAAATGTGAGTGAGTAACGAAGAGGAACACAAGAAAATATCTGACATTAACTTTATTAGGTGACTTTTTACAAGAATTTACAAATCAACTAGTAATTAACAAGGATTGAAGCCGAAAATATTACATTAGTTTCTTTATTACATTATTTTCTTTAATATAAGTACAGGTAAAAGGCAAACATCAATAAGAAACAGGAGATAGAAGACGACTACACTCCCTCTGACCTTTAGGACCATTTTCCAGTATAGACTAAAATGTATGAGAGGATCATACAAATTGAGACCGAGAACCCTCAGGCGACTTCCTTTTGTGCTGTTTTGCTGGGAGAAGGCAACCAGACTCCTTGCATTTCGGCAACTTTAAGGGCTATCTGCTTTCATTCCTCCACAGTTTTGCTGCCGCCTTCTTGAATCCACTCTTTGCATAAGTGACTAAAAGCGCAATGAGCTCACTGAAATTCAAAAGGTAAAGTTGTCAATAGTTAAGAAATTTACTCTCTTAGCTTTGTTTGGACCTGCAAACTGCCATTCATTTCAACTCAACGAGAAATTGTGCCTTGATTGTTCATCATTTGCAATGTGCAAAAGATATATTTNACTTTAAGGGCTATCTGCTTTCATTCCTCCACAGTTTTGCTGCCGCCTTCTTGAATCCACTCTTTGCATAAGTGACTAAAAGCGCAATGAGCTCACTGAAATTCAAAAGGTAAAGTTGTCAATAGTTAAGAAATTTACTCTCTTAGCTTTGTTTGGGCCTGCAAACTGCCATTCATTTCAACTCAACGAGAAATTGTGCCTTGATTGTTCATCATTTGCAATGTGCAAAAGATAAATTTAATTCTAAATTCAAATAAGGAATCTTCAACTTCCATGCATTATGTAGGTGAATTGTGCATATTTGATCACTATTATGACGGTACTAAAAGAATATCAGTAATCTGCACTAGCTCAAAGGTGCATGAAGACGATCGTAAAAAAAAAACTTATACGCCGATATTAGAGCATTCATTTTCTTTAACATCGATGTTGCTTGGACCAACTTGACCATACCTCTGACTAATCTACCAGGTAACGTTATCCAACTCACTGGCATAGGTTGTCAAGGTAATCCTGCCCACAGAGGTTGAAGCCAATGGGCTCAGACCAAGTGTTGTAGCTGGAATATAAAGATATCCCCTTTGCATGACTTTTGTTGGTCTTAGGGTTTGGGAATGTGATTACCTTTACTTTGTTATAAACCCATTCAGAATATACTGAATCCTTAAACAGAGCATTTCTAGTGTTTCACAATCCACATGGGCATTGACACCTATTGCTCTCTAATCAGGTTTTCGGGGATGTGATTTCCAGCACTATAGCATTTTCAAGATTGTCCTTAATCTTTTCCAGCTAAAATCAAGAAATCCAAACTCTGCTCCTTTTTCTTTGAAGGAGATTAAAGATCTGGAATACAATGACACTCCTAAAGGAAAGGCATCTCTGTGAACTACGTGCATGTTTGATGCTCTATTAATCCAAGAAATTGTCACGAAATCTCCACACAGCAGACAGCTAAGTAAATATATTTATTCTTCAAAACAAGGACAAAATCGAATAAGCAATCATAATATAAAGTTCTAAATGTTTTCCTGCTTTCTTCACGTTTATAATCACAAAGCAGCATTGATCAGAATAAATCCCACTAAACCCCCTTAACCTTTAATGGTTGGGAAACAATACCCCCTCCATCTTTTGAATAGAACTGATAACCCCCTTGAATTGCATTTTCCGATGAGTTTTAGAATTATAAACAACTTTCCTTTTTTTTTTCTTTTTGTTAAAGGTTCAATAAACAGGTGATTTTAATAATTTTTACCATCAATGTATCTACGATCAATTTCATTTTTAAGCTCATTCCAATGAATAGCATGCTCTATCATCCATTGATGTTGATGCAGTAAAACACAGAACTTAACAAGCAGAGATGGACCTATGTGTATCCTTGAGGATCATCGGAATCTGTAAACTTCGACAAAAATCTTGTATATGTATATGTGTATACATATACATAAATATATAAAAGCCTTTAGGGTGCACTAGTTGAGCAGAATACCGGTGCCCCTCGCGTTAAAATCCTAGGTCCGCCTCTGTTAACAAGGATCATAAATGAACTTGAGAATCTGAGCTACATTCTCAGTGAAAAATTGATGCATAACAACAAACCAGTTTGATCCCAATAGGTGGGGTCTGGGGAGGGTAGTCAGTACGCATACCTTACCCCTACCTAATGCAGGTAGAGAGGTTGTTTCCAATAGACCCTCGGCTCAGGAAGGACAAGAAGAAGAAGTGGAAAGCAAGGAAGGAAGAGAAAAGAAAGGGGGGAAGGGGGGGAATAAAGGATAAGTAGTACCAAATAATAGCAGCAGGGAGTACAATACGTGAGGCGAATACAATCACATAACGTAATAGAAATCTAAGAATATGAAGGGACATGCATGCTACTAAGACTATCGGTGAACAACTATAAACTACCTACTAACCTTCTACCTTATTCCTCGACCTCCACACCCTCCTATCAAGGGTCATGTCCTCAGTGAACTGAAGCAGCGCCATGTCGTGTATAATCACCTCTCCCCGGTACTTCTTAGGCCTACCTCGACCTCTTCTCAAACTCTCCATGGCCAACCTCTCACACCTCCTAACAGGAGCATCAATGCTTCTTCTCTTAACATGTCCGAACCATCTCAGCCTCGACTCCCGCATCTTGTCCTTCACGGAGGCTACTCCCACTCTGTCCCGGATAGCTTCATTCTTAACATGTCCGAAAAATTGATGCATGAAGAACATATTTCTTTAAACCATTGTAGGAAAATTCGGGTGTTGTTTAGCTAAATTATGGTTCCACAGTATCATGCATGAGCATTTAGTTCCTTTTCTTTTTCTTAATCTCAGTAAATATCTTTCAGAATTCTCAAAGCATCAAAAGAAAATTTGACTGAA